AGAACTATTAAAAAACAATCTATTCAATTCTATTTTGACGAAGTATCGAAATAGACAGTCGAAATCTAGAATCTGCAATCGATATTTGATAATTGCGCAGTATCTTTATACAATTTGCACTCCCGTCGCTTTATTTTACACATGACACGTCAAAATCGAAAAAAAATTGACAGAACTATTAAAAAACAATCCATTTCACGCTATTTTAACGAAATATCGAAATGGTCAGTCGAAATCTAGAATCTACAATCGATATTTGATAATTGCGCAGTATCTTTATACGAATTGCACTCTGGTCGCTTTATTTCGCACATGGGCCCTCAAAATCGAAGAAAAATTAGGAAAACCATTAAAAAACTGCCTTTCCAATACTATGTCAACTAAATACCACAATTATCACTCGAAATCTAGAATCTATATTCGATATTAGGCAACTACGCACTCCAGTTATACGATTTGCACTCAAACCACTTTATTTCGCACGTAGCATGTACATACATTTTATAGATGCACTAGATAGCATCACTTCGTTCCACGTGTATATTTCAACCGAACAAATGTTTACAGTTAGATATCTCGATCTCCGTGAAGTTCTATCAATTTCTTCATTGGCTATTTCAGAGAGTGGTGGGGGTAGTGGAGTAAGGGTGGGGGTCGCGAGCACGCTAGTTTCCACTGACACATTGATATTCCTATCAGTGTGGAATCTCAGAAGACTCCGTTACCGTTGAGTAAAGGACCATGCTTCGAGGATTAAGGAATTTAAAATATAATCAAGTGCATAAGTTCTTGTTGAATATTATTACCCCGATCCCATCACGATAATGCCATAAGCCACGCTGTATATCATCGATCGTGGATCTACGGCCACTTTCTAGAACCGTGACGCGTCCCTGAAGATCGGTTTGGACCGTGACCAGTCCCGGACCCGAAATTGCACAACTGTCGGAGATTTTTCGAAAAAGAAAGGGCAGTAAGAGGCCCGTCCGACGAAGGAAAAGGACACGAGTATCTGACTCGACACGCGCGGCGAACGAAAGCCGATCGAGGCGAGTCGCTTTCCTCGTGGCAGCTGGTCCAGGAGATAGGTGAGAGCTTGTTACGGACATTACGTCACTGATTACGCGTGCGCGAGTGATCCACCATTGCCTTGTCCTTCGTCGCCAAGTTTCTACGCGGCAGTTTTCAGATTCCTACGGACCCGAGGTCGATGAGTCACTACCGTGACTAGTGAAACACAGATTTTCGGTTTGGCTTCGATGGGAGGAAGTGACGTAGAGTGGAATTTTTTTTTTTTCGTTTCCCGTTTCGTGGAGGCGAGAAAGGAAGGTTAACGCGTTGAAGGTTTGCCACTTTTTGTATGGCGGCCTCGGGGACCGCGATAAGTTTCCATTGGGATTGGGGTGTAATGAGGAATTGTAGAACAGTATGGGGATAAGAGGGAAATGATGGGAAAATTAGTGGTGTTGTCTGTTGAGAGTGACGTATATTCACCTTCAAAGGGATTTAAGGATGTTCGAGGTTCCTCGATCTCTATTCGTTTGCGTTAAAATTTTTTAGAAAATTGTTAAGATGAAAGGAATAAATTTAGAAAGAAATTAGAAAAATAAATTTAGAAAAATTTAGATAAGTGGTATTATCAGTTTCTGGTGAGCACTGTGACCCCACTGAGGAGATAAATGGCGGTGGTAAAAGAAAATAGTGGAAGGAAGAGAAATAATAGCAATAATTATTAATATTCTCTATTTGTTTGGATTGTTTAAATTTTCAGAAAATTGTTAAGATGAAAAAAATATCATAAATTTGGAAAATTAGTATTATCAGTTTCTAGTAACCACTATGGCCCCATTAAAAAAACAAATGGCGGTGGTAAAACAAAATAGTGGAAGGAAGAGAAACAATAGCAAAAGTTATTAATATTCTCTATTCAAAATTTTCTATTTGTTTGCATTGTTCAAATTTTCAGAAAATTGTTAAGATGAAAAAAATATTATAAATTTGGAAAATTAGTATTATCAGTTTCTGGTAATCATTATGGCCCCATTAAAGAAACAAATGACGGTGGTAAAAGAAAATAGTGGAAGGAAGAGAAACAATAGCAAAAGTTATTAATATTTTCTATTCAAAATTTTCTATTTGTTTGCATTGTTCAAATTTTCAGAAAATTGTTAAGATGAAAGAAATATCATAAATTTGGAAAATTAGTATTATCAATTTTTAGTAATCACTATGGTCCCACTGAGGAGACAAGCACCGATTCTCTATGCAAAAGTCTCTATTTATTTATTTACGTCGTTGAAATCTTCAAAAAATTATTAAAGTAGAACAAATATCATAAATTTCGAAAATTAGTATTGTCAAGCATTGGTAACCACCATGACTTCACTGATCCTGAGGAAACAAGCACCGGTCACCGTTGGCAGTCAACGTGTTAATTATTTTGGGATCTTACGCGAAACTGTGGAGTCATTGAGTTTGCTGTTGTAGGGTCAATGCACAGCTCTCTGCATAAGTATACGAACACTTCCTTAATACTGACCCTACCACGGTCAGATGACTGTTGAATGAAAAACCAGTGGAACCTTTAAAAAATTATTACACGTAAATTGACAGGAAAATCACGAAGACAAGTGACTAAAACGATAACACTGAACGTGGAATTTTGAATGAAAATTTAAACAATGATCAATTACTTAAGCCACAGTAATTTTAATGTTAATTGAAATATGTATATATATGTGTCTGACGAAATTGAGAAATTTTAATTATTGACATGGTATTTTCAATGGTAAGGTTAAAATATTATATATTGTATATTACTATATATATTACTATACTATATTATATATTACAGTATTAATATTGTTGTTAATAATAATATGATACATTATTATACATTGATGTTTTATTATAAATTGCATAAATTTAATATGCTGTTTAAATTTCTGATTACCAAAAATAATTGGTAAATAATTAATTAATCCAATTTAATATTATTAATTACACACTTATAATCCCTTTTTATGTAGTGTATATTAATTGCAGCATAATGTACTAAACATAATTCTTTGAATATACTATAAATTGAGAGTCGCTGGTATAGAGGGAGATTTTAATAATTTGATATGGTTATACATTGAAACCAAATCATGAGAATACATTTAAGAAGTATAAAAAATATTTTTAAATAGAATTTTCACTTTTTGAAAATTTACTCTATAGAATTTTCTTGTTAAACAATTAAAAATTCTTCCTCCACAATTTTTGTCTGTTTTCAAAAGGAACATAATCATAATACAACCCAGTTACTATAGCAAATATGTATATGTAATTGGCAGTTTGATTTTAGCTAGAAAAATGTATTTTCTGACTCATCCATAATTACTTTTCAGACAATTATCCAATATAAAAAAATTAAATGATTAAAATGACAAGGTAGTCGATTTCTAAAAATTAAATTTATCTTTTCAAAGAACATAAATTTACCTTTTGCAGATTCTATCAGCAAAATCAACGATCTACAATGTATAGTTAAACGTATTACATATATAATCGTGTTTTCATGCGAATAAAAATCGAAATTAATTTTATCAAATGCAGTTGCATATTTTGATAATCATCAAACCGAAATATCCGAAAGCAGACATACTCTACTTAGGCTCGTTTTATAATACTAACGTTAAATCGGTCATTTTCTCGAATAAAATCTGATTATACATTTAGTGACATATTTCCTAGAATTAATTCAGTTGTAGTGTATACATGCGGAAATGCACGTGCTACAGTGTCAATTTAAACCAGATGCAACTTCTGTGTAGTCACTTTTACTTGCTACTTGCTACTTACTCAGTAGCTATTCCAACTAGGAAGTATTTAAGACCTTCGTTGCAAATTTTAGAAATCTCACGTGACGAGTAGATTGCACTGATCCTTGAAAATTGATCATTTTCGATAGAAAGATTGCAAAATCGTTTCCTTCGTTCCAATAATTTTCTTAACGCAACTCTAGCATAAAGTACTTGCTACAGAAAATTAGTATGGAAATTAGTATCAGAAAAAGAGTATTCTAGGCAAAATCGTTGAAAACGTGTATTTGGGATGGTTGTACCGTGAAATTAATTAATAGTAATAATAATAATTAATGCATAATTAATTAGTGCATTAATGCAAACCATCAGTTGCATGATGAACATAAAGTATTAAAATTAAGGTTATTAATTTATGATATTATTATTTCCAATATGAATATTTATTGGTAAATATTCTACACGATACGATACAGGATGATTACTAGCAACGCGAAATTAATTGTTAGTAAATTATGTATTAATATTATTCATAAATTATGAATTTAAGTATTTTAATACTATTAATCTAGAATTTCAACACGATAGATTTCCTTCCTCTTTCATTTTCGCGTTTTAAAATTGTACAATTTGATTTTTTACTATCCCAAAATTAGATGTCCAAACACGGCAGATGCTATTTCACTTTGATTGAAAGTTACAGATTTATAAATGAGAGGTTTTATTTCCGAACGCGACAAATTTCATTTTCTAACGCTTTACAAAATGCGTGAAATAAAAATTATCATTTCCTAATATTCTAAACTCATATACCCGAACGCAAGAAACTTAACACTTTCACGGTTCCGTCAACCTTACATCGATTTTCCACTTAACTCACTAGCGCCACCACCGTCCATATCTCCGATATATCCCGCAACTATTTTCTAATTTTACTGATATGATCTTGGAATTTTCTTCTTACCATGCGTGTCGTATCGTTTGCATACTTTTGAGCCTAGAATCATGCAAAAATTAATCCTCACCTATCCAAGGTTGCATTCCAAAACACAAGATTATTTGCCAAATGACCTAACGTTTTAACCTAATACACTCCCAGCAATAAACAAACTAAAATACCTACGTTCATTGAATGCTTCGCCAATAGAAACGCTGATCTCATCTGCAAATCTAATTTTCACTTCGATGCTACAGAAATGGAGAACACTGGTGCACCACCGGCCTCTTCCATAGAGCTGAAGACGCGGAGGGCGCAGTTCCAAACGCAGGCCTCGAACTTGGACACGAGAAGGAGGCAGGCTGTGTGCGTGAGAAGAGCCTTCAAGAAGTATGGGCCCAACAGTAATCCGAATATTATCCTGGATGGAATGAACATGACTGTGCCGAAAGGCGCGATGTAAGTTTCGTAATTTGCTCCAAGACCCGAGTTCTTTCCACGTATCGTTATCCGTTAGGAAATCTTGGATCGCACTTGTGTGCTTGGAATTTTAGTGCATATTAGAACAAAACTTAATAACTTAGGGTAGAAGGAAGTGCGATAGAGATGAAAACGTAATGCGAAATAAAAATTCGTTCTAGATAGAATTCACTTAACCTCTTCAGCGATACTGGCATCAGAGTTCACACGTGTGTACGTTCAGTTTGTTTTTAAATTATGATTATTATAAGGAGAAAGAAAATTAGAATCATTTGGAGAACCATTCACTATAAAATCCCTCAACAATAAAAAATAGAATTTTATTCTACTTTATAATCACTGCTTTCAAATCAATGTAACGTTAACTTAAAAGAGGTTAAAGAGGTTAGGTTAGGTACATTAAAAAGGTTAAGGGAAGCAATAATAATCGATCGACTAGTACCACTCCAAAATGGCGACTGACAATGGTCTACTACCCAAATCCTCATTTCTTTGAAAAAAATAATTGAAAAATTTCGGAGCATTGACAAGCTACACTGAATACTCGTTACTTCCCTTTATGACGCCTCTTACTTCCAATAAAAGGACTATACGACATCAACATCGTCTCGAGATCGTATTTATAATCTGCTGTAGTAAAAAACTAAATACTAAAATAAACTTTATATCCTAGCGATGTGGGGACAATCTCTTCCTCTGCGTTTTGTCTTTTGTCTCCCGTTTTCCGAAGACGTCTTTGACCTGCGTGGCCTTAAACGGTCAGGTCAATTCCAACCGTTCGCACATTTAATCACTCACGCTGGACAGACGTGTCCCGTACGTCGTAATATCTTTTACGCAGAATCGTCAACGACGTGCTATACACGTCGTCAAGCAATTGTCACAGAAACACTGGACCCACGTCTGGCACTCACGTCTGTGAATTTCTTGTCAGCGCAAGTGATTAATAAACGTCGATACAGTTTTTCCACCGTTTCCACTGGCTACTACTTCTTTGCATTGTAACTTCTTAACGTCGTCCGATTAAAAATTCACATAAAATGTCCTCTGACTTCTGTTAACCCAAACGATCACCTTACACAAGAAAATGTACCGTAAGTTGGCAGGAACGACGCTTAATCGACGGGTAATCACAGCGGGACAACGCAAACCGATATGCAAATCAGCCTTCTTATTATTCACGATTTCCCCTCTGCTTCACCTATATACCTGGCCGATCGAGAAAGATTTCACGTACGATTGCGTAGAAATCGGCGATTCCTCGCTGATCTTCCTCGCCTGGAGACCGATCCACGTTTCGCTATTCCTCCACCGATGACAAAGTCCATGTCGTAGGACACGTCAGAGATTCCGAAACCTGTATGCTCGTTAACGAGACCTTGATCAGCTGATCAAGGCAAACTTTTCCTGTGATTTCGTCGAAACGAATTTATTTCATGTGATTAACGTCGATACAAAGGTGAAGCTACCTTTATTTGTCTTCAGCTTCTCGTGCAGGATGACGCGGCAGAATTTTATGCAAACCACCTGGCTGTTATTAAACAACGTTACTAAGCTATTAAGAAGGAATTTCGGAAAAGGAGATTATGTTTCGTTTATGCTGATTTCTGATCAGTTTGTCACTCGTTGTGAGATTATCTGAAAAGTGCTAAGGAAATTGAGGTTTTTGTTCAAGGGATGAGGGATGAGGGATGAAGTGTGAGAGAGCCCTTGGTATATTTGGAATGTACCAATTTTTTGGGGAAAAAAAAATTATTTTTTATTATTGTTAATTTTTCTTAAATTTTAAAGTATCAAAATATTAGGGTAACATTATCAAATATCATAAAGCACAGTTAGATAATTACCCACGGTTCAAGATATGGTCTATATTAATAATATACTATATTAATAATACAGTTTAATAATATGGTATAGAAATAATATAGGATTAGAAAAATGAATTATATACTAATATACATTTATGTGATAATAAAACACAGAATTGCTGTAATAAAACACGGAATTAACGATAACTGCGTAGTTATAATATATGCAGTATGTACCACGGAAAATTATGATAATTTCCATATGCAGATACGGTTTGCTTGGAGCCAGTGGTTGCGGAAAGACTACATTACTCTCCTGCATAGTGGGCCGAAGGCGTTTAAATTCCGGTGAGATCTGGGTGCTGGGTGGTCGACCAGGGTCCAAAGGATCAGGTGTTCCAGGTCCACGCGTGGGTTATATGCCACAGGAGATCGCATTGTACGGAGAATTCTCCATTAGAGAGACATTCATCTACTTCGGTTGGTGTGCTGGCATGTCCACCGAACAAGTGGACGTAAAACTAGAATTTCTCATTAAGGCAAGTCTGAATTCATTCCTATTGCAATTTCCTCGATCGGAATTGGGTACAATCGGGACAGGGGTGATTCTACGTGAAAAAACAAATCGAAAATAAAGAATAAAATTTTTCGATTCAAAGCTTCGTTGTCGAGAAAATCCACTTTGAATATTCACTGAGCGCACGTGCATTTAACTTTAGCTAAGGAGGATGAGCAATCAGTACACCAGCGTACTCGGATATTCAAAGTGGATTTTCTCGACAACGAAGCTTCGAATCGAAAAATTTTATTCTTTATTTTTGATTTGTTTTTTCGCGTAGAATCACCTCCTCCTCAATTGTATCTCCTTCTTGATTAATAAGAGGTTAACTGGTTCAGAACCACTGACTTAAACGATTGATGTAACACACGTTCCTAAGGAAGGGGAAAACGTAATTATAAAATAATAGTAGTTATAAAAACGCGTGAAAATGACCAATACACTTGTTTGTCCAGACACATGATTAATAAATTCAATATAATGCATTCGTTTCTGTGATACGCAGATTATAAGTATTTAAATGATACGACACCTCAGTTTAACATGGATAATTAATGATTGAGCGTATAAAGTGCAAACACTGACGTCATTTTAATTGTTTCTTTTTTGCAATTCGAGTTATTTATAAATATTTATTTAAATAGTTTATGTAACGCTTAATCTCGCAAATCAACTGATCTAGGATTTATAAATATTCTTATGTAAACGTAAAATTATTAAGCAAGTAATTGTTTAATTTAACGTCAATTTTATTATACAGATAAATTCATAAATGATGATCTCAAAAATTCAATTAGTTTACGAAATTAATTCCACTGAGATTTAAATTAATTCCGTGGAAATTTAGAAAATTAATTCGGCGGAAATTTACGAAATTATTTCCGTGGAAATTTACAAAATTGATCCCGGGGAAATTTAGAAAATTAATTCCGGGGAAATTTACAAAATTAATTCCGTGGAAATTTAGGAAATTAATTCTGCGGAAATTTACAAAATTAATTCCGTGGAAATTTAGGAAATTAATTCTGCGGAAATTTACAAAATTAATTCCACTGAAATTTCCAAAATTAATTCCATGGAAATTTACGAAATTAATTTCGCGGAAATTTACGAAAGTAATTCCGTGGAAATTTCCAAAATTAATTTCGTGGAAATTTTGGAAATTAATTCGACGGAAATTTACGAAATTAATTCCAGGGAAATTTTGGAAATTAATACGACGGAAATTTACGAAATTAATTCCGGGGAAATTTCCAAAATTAATTCCGTGGAAATTTAGAAAATTAATTCGGCGGAAATTTACGAAATTAATTCCTCGGGCCTAAAATAAAATATTTCACGCGAATCTTTTGAAACAGTTCTTGCAGCTGCCATCAGAGAACCGTTTCGTGAAGAATCTCTCCGGTGGTCAACAAAGAAGAGTATCTTTCGCTGCGGCTCTCCTTGCTGATCCAGAATTGCTGATCCTAGATGAACCCACCGTGGGTGTAGATCCCGTCCTACGTCAGAGTATTTGGGACCACCTCGTCCAGATAACAAAGGATGGCAATAAAACCATCATAATTACAACCCACTACATAGAAGAAACGAGGCAGGCTACCACCATTGGCTTAATGAGGAGCGGTAAATTACTAGCAGAAGAATCACCAACAAAATTAATGGAAATACACAACGTGGATAGTTTAGAGGAGGTATTTTTGAATCTCAGCAAACGACAAAATATGGGACTTCGAAGAAGAAGCAGCATCCTCAGCAGTGTTACCGGTGTTCCTCCTGAAGCTGTACGTTTTCATATTTTTTCCACTATTTTTCTATTTTTTTTTTTTTTTTTTTACCAATTTCTTACAAATTGTGGTTTTCCTTAATTTATTTATTTATCAATATTTTCATAAATTTTATTAACACTTTACTAACTCCGATTGACCACTAACGAAACACTACATTTACTAATTTATTTTCACAAATCAATTTTTTATCCAATTTTACTAGATTTATCACTAACTAGTAATTTTAATGATACTGATTAAATACTGACACAAATTTAAAAGAACTACTAATTAGTAATGTCTTTTCTAAATTTGTATGATAATTTTTCAATTCTTATAATTTTTACAATTTTATAGTGCTGTGTTTATCCTTTCTCTCTCTCTCTCCCTCAATATTTTATCAAAATTTTTTACTGGTTTTTGATAAATTTGTTCATCAATTTCTTCTATTATTTATACAACTGAAATTCCATTATGATTTGCAATTTTTCAGAATCCAGAGGACGAAATGAGCGGTGAATTCGGCGACAACGTCAGTGTATCTAGTCGAAGAAAGAGCATCGTCATCGACGATGCAAACGTACGTTTCAATTTTTTCTTTCGGTGATTATGTTTCCAGTTTCGCTATTTTTTTTTTCAATCGAAATTCGATTTGATGAGCAGGTACCAGAACTGCCACCGGAAGAGAAAGGTTCCTCTAAATTTAAGATGCTCGACTCCCAGCACATGAAGGCTCTTATATGGAAGAATTTCTTGTGGATGTGGCGAAACGTGGGGTACGTATTCCCAAAATTATTGCGAGGCTCAAGATTACTCATCCCCTTGAAAAACCAAGAAATTATCAAACTCGAGAAGAAAGCGATTTTTAAATATAAGCACTTTTACCTGCAATATCTCTGCAGAAATGTTTAAGTCCAAAAAAACAAAAGTAATTCTCAAATAAAAAAATGCAGGAAGATATCTCTTACAGAGAATTAGCATAGCACAAGAAGCCCATAATATAGAAAACGAAGTCTCTCAATAAAAAAAAAAAGAAAAATATTTAAATATTAGTTACTATTAACCTATTAGGTACGGCGCGCTCGTCCGCCATTATATTTCCCAGGGACGTCTTCATATTGGTACCGCGATCTTCGTTTTATATCAATTTCTTTGCACACTAAAGAAATTTTTTAAAAAAGCTATGTTTTCCTTGTTTTTGGTTTTAACGCTTTTATAGTACGACGGAAAATGTGGTTTAGTCGAAATAAATGAGAAATAAAGTATAATAATCCAAAATTATAATATCCACAGAAGCCATCATAATGGCGTACCGTTCAAATTGATGCTTTCCACGGAATCCACTATAGTGGCGCACTGTACCTAAAAGGTTAAATTGATCGTCGTTTAAAGATAATATCTTAAAACGAAATAAAATTCTATTAAATATTTTTTTCTAGCATAATGTTATTCATCATCGGTCTCCCAGTCGTGCAGATCGTTCTATTCTGCCTATCCATCGGTAAAGACCCAGTTGGCCTAAAGATAGCAATAGTGAACCACGAATTAAATAATACCATGGAACCTTGTATACCAACGAAGGACTGTGATTGGACGCGGTTAAGTTGCCGATTTCTACAGCACTTGGAGAACAGATCGATGGTTCTTTTACCCTACAACAACGATATGGATGCAAAAAATGCTGTGATGGAAGGATGGGCTTGGGCTGCCATAATGTTTCCCGCGAATTACTCAGAGTGCTTGGAAATAAGGATAAAAGACGGCAAAGATGTTGATGACTGGAATGTAAATTACTCCAACATGGACATCGTCATGGATATGTCTAGTGAGTTTGTGGACAAAAAAGGAAAAAATAATTTATAGGTTATATATGAAGTTTCATCAAAGAAAAATCTTCTTGGTCTTTTTCTAGACCAACAAATTGGCCAGCTTCTTCAAAAAGATTTTTATAGCTCGTATCAAGATTTTGCTCGAGAAACTACGGTAGCCTGCAATTACAGCAACAAACTGACAAATATACCGGTTCATGTAAGTCGAAGGATTTAAAAATGAATTACAGTAAAAGTTTCTCAAAAATACCTTTTCCGTTGCGTAGTTTGAAGCACCGATTTATGGTCCCAAGGATCCAAACTTCACCGATTTTGCGGCACCTGGCATTATTTTAACGTAAGTATTTAGAAAGAAATATTAATTATTAAATATATACTTATAAAATTTTTTTCCGTTTGATTTTTCTTAAAAATTGTTGTATTGCAGAATAATCTATTTCTTGTCGGTCGCCTTGACTTCCGGTGCCATGTTGTTGGAAAGGAACGAAGGTCTTCTAGAAAGAAGTTTAGTCTCTGGTAAATAAAAAGAACTGTTTCAAATAAAAAGCTTAAATAAAAATATTTATAAGATTTATAAATTGCTTTTTCTTTTTTGCCGATAGGTTTGACAGGAACGGAAATTCTTTTTGGACAAATTATAACTCAATTTGTGGTAATGTTAGGTCAAACATTGATGGTTTTGATATTTTCATTCGCCGTCTTTCAAATCACGTGGGAAGGTAATATTGGTTGGATCATTGTACTAACGGTCCTTACCGGATTGAGTGGAATGAGTTTTGGTATGAATAACTTTCATAATCATAATAATAATTAATTCAATATATTAATTCTATTAAATTTTATTTTTAGGATTCGTTATTGCTTGTGTCTGTGAAAATGAAAAAAGTGCTACTTACATGGCAATGGGTTCCTTCCTACCATTTGTAATGTTATGTGGAATAATTTGGCCTATTGAAGGAATGCATGAAATACTGAAATATATCAGTTATATATTACCTCTTACAAAGAGCACAGAATCAATGAGAGCTATGCTAGCTAGAGGATGGTCAATTTCAAACCCTACTGTTTACAATGGTTTCATTTCTACACTTATTTGGATAAGCATCTTTCAGACCTTAGCAATATTGTTAATTAAATTCAAGAAAGGATAAGAACTTTTTGTTAGATCATAGACTAAATACTACACTGTATATTATATGAATGAATATGTATATTTTATAGTACAAAATTTATTGCATAAAGTTTAAAACATTCAATGAATTCTTTCATGTTGCAAAAAAAATAAATGAAGAACACATTGAGAACTTTACACATTTTTTGCTCAACACGGTTGTATTATATTTATTATATATACATATTTCAATATTACTGCACAATTGTAACGATATTACGTGTATAATTCAATTAGAAGTAGACTCTAAAATAAACGTAATATTGTAATTGTATAATCTTTTTATAGCATTTGTATCTTAATACAAAGTAACTAATGAACTTTTTCTATGAATTATAATACTTTTGTTTAGTATTATACTATACAGCAAATTGTATTATTTTGTTTTTATATAAATACATTTTATAATGAAGGCATGTACATATGATGATATTAGAAGAATGTTACATGAAGGGTAAGAAACATAGAAACATAGAATAAAAATTGCACAATAAAGATGAATAAATAGTATTTTATAAAAAATTATACAAAATTTTGTTTCCTTTACTAGAACAATCTTATATAATGTATTAATGTAAGTTTTTATCTTCCATTTTATGTGAATTCTTATTATTTCACAGATTTTGAAGGACGTAAAAATGGTTCATGTAATGTTTTATGGATTCTTTCTGCTTTTTGTAAACCAATACCAGGACAAAGTGCTAGTATATTTGGCTGAGATTTTATCAATTCATTCAATGTACCAAAGGTTGATAAAAGAGTTGTAGCATCTGTTTTATTAACTGATCGAATTGTTGTTAAAGCATTAACTAACTGAAAAAGAATGCAGGAAAATATAATTATTATTCTCAAACTAGAAAAATTTCAACCATATGATGTTTAATGTGTTTATGCATTTACCTTTTGATATGGTGCTGTTTCACTACGTTCCATAATTGCATCAGGTGGTTTATTTTCATAAATTTTGTATGTTTCAATAATTTTACCTGCATCCTCTGCATTCCATGCTAGCATTAATGTTAAATCCGCGAGAATACAAATTCTTGTTAAATGTTTTAGTGCATGCTGAGGTTCTGCTATATCTACCTATAATATTTCATCTATGCATATATAATATTTACCATAATTACTTACCATTAGATATAACAATAATAACTAAACAAAACCTGAACTAAAAGCACTCTCAAATTATACATATTTCCCAACATCTTCAAGCGTTCATGAATATAATCAGGATTAAGTTGGTGATAACGTATTGATAAAAAAAGGGCACAAGTAGTTTTTCCCATAACATAATCTGGCACTATTTCAGAATATTCCCAAGGAACGTTGTTTATAAATTTTAATAATGGATTTCCTTTCTAAAATTATATTATATGGATTTAAAAATGACACAACATGTTATTAAATGTTGAAACATCTAATATTGTCGTACTTGTTTTAAACTGACTAACAATGTATTAAAAATTGTGGAGTCCTTGGCTTTAGAAGGACCAGGCACTGGTTCATTAAAATATTCTGACTTCCTTAATTCATTAAATGCAGCTGTAACATTTTCATTACAAATATATCAAAATTATGTTGAAATATTAATATAAAAATTAACTCACACTGGAAAGAAGACTCAATTTTAGCTTGTTTAGATGGAGAAACTTCCTTATCAGTTTTATCGTTTGTTTCCATGATATTTATTTCTTTTTACTTTTGAATAAAATCTATTACGTATTTATAAATTAAGAAACTGTTAAAAAATATTATTATATTAAGTGACTTTAACACATAAAATGATTTATTTAAATTGCAAAATAATTGAAATAATCATAATAAAATATCAAGAATTAATAAATTTTTTACAAACATAAGTAAACGTGATTGACAGTACACGTATAGGTTATTATTATTATTATTATGAACAAAATTATGATCAAAGAATAACACTCAATTGTCAATAATCAAAGTTCATTTCGTGCAATAAAAATATTAATAAATAAATTACATATATTAATAAATTAAAATAATTATTATAAGCAATTATTATTTTATTTAAACGACATTTGTATTATAAATATATCATATATATCCACTATTTATAAATATTTTATTACAAACTTATTCACGTATTGAAATTAAGAATAGTTACGCAATTAACTATAAAAACAAATGATAGTACTTTTTTTTTCTTATTGGTAACACTGATAATTGATAACATCTGATGACATATTAATCTGACGTATTTTTATAATCAACTGAATTGTTATTTTGATTATATATTCTTGTCAATGTATTAAAATTAAAATGGGATAAATATTCGTGTATATTGTAGAAGCGAGAAGACTCATTGATAGTAAATCTTCGTAAATGTAATAGAAAATTAATATATTCACGAAACATAACCTAAAATTTTTAAATGAACAAGGAAAAGTCAGAGATTAAAACTGTCAAACATCCTCCTTGGAAGGATGTTGGCATATCAGATCCACGAGCACGGTTAAAATCTCTTTCTGACTATGCTTCCACAGTAGAAATGGACCGTAACATTCCACCACAAAGGTATCAAGTTAAAAAAAAATTCTATTTTACATAGTATTATTATAAGCTTTTAGGAGATAGATGTTTAAAGTTCCATTAGTAATTCTAATATTCTAAATATTTTCCAGATATTACCGTTCTGGTGTAGAAATGATTAGAATGGCAGATATGTATATGAAAGATAATGATTTTGAATATGCATATTTTTTGTATGTCAAATTCATAACGTAAGATATATTTATAATTTTAAATATAAAACATTATTTATGATAATTCAACGTATTTAAACATCTTTATTGACTAAAAAATTTATTATCACAGGATTTTTGTTGAAAAAATAAGAAATCATCCACAATTTCATACAGTTCCATTAAAAGATAAGGAGCATAATCAACAAACACTTCGTAAAGTAATTCCTAAGGCTGAAGAATTAAAGAAACAATTATTAGAACAATATCAAACAGAATTAAATAAATATTTGGAAGATGTAAAAGAAAAAGAAAAAATTGAAAGAGAAAGATTGAAACAAGAAGAATTAGAAAAGTATTTCATAATATTTCAAAAATTAATGTGGAATCCTTATGTATATAACATTCATATATATGCAATATTTGTTTAGATTGAGAGAAGAAGAAGAAAGAAAGAATAAATTAGCTGCATTAGCAGCTGTTAAAGCAGCAAAAGCTGCCATGACTGCAAGTATAACATCTCCTGAAGATGGCAAGCTTAAACAAATTTCCAGTATATCATCAAGACCATTAGTAAGTCCATCTAGTGATTTAAATATACAGACATCTAAAGAAAAGTAAGTATAATGTAAATAAGAAAAGATATTGAATTCCTATAACAGATGCAAATTGCAGGAAATATTAAGTTGCAAAATTGTAATTTTAGGAAACCTACTATAGATCGTTCAACAAAACCTTCCTTGCTGTGTGACAATTTTACTTTAAGAGATATAGTACTGCCAACAAAATTAATGCATAGCTTTCTCATGTTGGCTTCCACTAATACCATGAATAATAAAGAAACTTGTGGTATATTAGCAGGGAAATTAGAACGAAATAAATTATTAGTTACTCATTTATTAATTCCCGAACAAACTGGATCTCCAGATTCCTGTGTAACACATAATGAAGAAGACATATTTGATTATCAGGACCAACATAATTTAATTACTCTTGGTTGGATACATGTATGCAATTTTTATATCATTTGAATTTAAAGTGGAGAGTTTGTAAATAGAAAAGATAATTGTACTTCACAGACACATCCTACACAGACTGCATTTCTGTCTAGTGTTGATCTTCATACACATTGTGCATATCAACTTATGATGGCTGAAGCAATAGCCATTGTTTGTGCTCCTAAGTATGACGAGTAAGCAAAAAGAATAAATCAGATATTAAATATTTAAACGAAAGAAATTTTTAACTCTAAAGTATTTCTTTCTTTTAGAACGGGATTTTTCATTTTAACTCCTGAATATGGATTAGAATTTATTGCCAACTGTAGGGAAACTGGATTTCATCCACATCCAACCGAGCCACCATTATATACGGTAATTACTATAAATAATTATTACATGTTTGTATAAATGTTATTTGTTATATACATTCAAAAGTATTTTTCCAGAAAGCAAAGCACTGTAAATTGGATGTAACAGCAATCATAGAAGTAGTAGACTTAAGAAGAAAATGACCTCTTTTAGATATGTATACACATATTTATGTATGTGTATACTTTAACATGTATGATTATTATAACAAGTTATATATTTAATTATGAAATACGTTACACTAAGTGCAAAAAGCGGAAATTTGCAAATATTTTAGCTTGAATAATATAAAGATTTAGCAGTTGTGTGAAGCTTTCAATATTTTTATGACAAAACATTTAAAAAAATCTTTAATATATTTGATGTAAGATTATGCATTTAAAACTAGTAGAATGAAATTAGTTAATTACGAATAAAATAATGCAATATTTAAATGGTAAATTATAGTATATTATATAACAAATTTTTATATAATTTAAAGAATTTAAATAATTAATCATTAGAAATTATTTTGACTGAAAAGAAGTAATAACCATTCATTTCACAAGCATTGAACAATTTCAACCTCTTGTAATGAAAGTAAGAAATTCGCTTGTGTATAATTTATATAAAGATAGAATATTTAAAATAGCGAGATACAAACGTGCTTCTATTACTTTTTTATATTTATATTTATTTACTCAGGTAATATGCTATATTATGCGCCGGAAAATAAATGTACAACAAAATTTTTATAAATATTAGCGGTGCGCGAAATCTGTGTATAAGTTTTACGTGCCTTTCATGGAAAAGTAATGGTGTTCATAGTCTCATGTTAATCACATGAAATATGTGCAATGTTCAGTTGTAAATATTGCACGATATTATTGAGTAATATTAATTAAGATCGTATCATTCAATGAGATCATTCCATTACATAAGATCGTAATTAAAAAATCAATAAATGCATTGACATACTATGCTAGTCATAACTTAATATACAAAGCTTGTTATGAAATATATTGATACATTGAAATCAATATATCAACCTTGTGTGATGCTTCATTGTATGTATTTTATCACGATACTGTATTTAAAAACTGTACATTACTAATAGATGCTATGTTAATTGATACTGGTGTAAAAGTTTTGTACTAGTAGGTACCTGATATAACTTTTATGTACTTAAGAATTTAATTGCACATTTGCAAATTGCAAACTGTTTATGGGACTATATTTTTCCATATCTCATAAACGTACAATATTTTGTACATATAGCCAATTATTCATTCCGTATCGATAATTAATAATTTCAGCGATCTAAAGTGTAATTATCACCTTTTATTACGGTAAAAAATATTTTAATTGCCAAATCATGATCAAACGTGTACTACGTACTATGGAACGTGTCTAATTAACGTAAAATATAATTTACAACACTAGCCTACGATCGTACCAAGCAATATTTATAAACACTATATCTAAATATTATAATTATAAAGTATTCACATGTTAGTAAAAGATGTATATTTCGCAGGATGAGAAATAAATTATAAGTTAATACAATAAACGTAATATCCCATTGTTTATTATAGTCATTTCTTGACTACAGAACAAAAGATTTTTGCGAGATTCGTCTTTTTTTACCTTTCTTATACGCATTGTTCAAAAACATTCACTGAAAGCAATTATTCACCATTGAAAACATAATAAAACGAAATAATTTGCTACGAGAAAAAGGAAAAAAGGAGAAAGAAAAGAAAATTATTCATAGCCAGGATACGGAATTCTAAAGAGAACCCATTGTAGGTATATGTGAGTACCTCGTGAGAATGCTTCTCGCCATTCACCTCTCCTCGTGTATATCGAATTACTTGCGTTGAAGGGTTTCGCGCTTTGCAGGGTTTTATCGACGGCAGGGTCAATCTATTTTTACGTGGCAGCTTATGTGTTCTTCGTTTTACCGTTTACAGACCGAGTATAAATCACGCTACGCGTAAGCATTCTCTTTGTGCACGCTCCTTTACGTATGAAAATTTCTCTTCACTTAATCGTTCATTTCACATGTATTGACGTATTAACATATTCTGAAAGATATAATCGCAATACGACGCTGTTTGCAATATCAATAATTCAATAATAATTACCAACAATTATTGAATATAGTTATTAAAGCGCAAGTCAATGACATGTAACTTTCACTCTGAAATCTTTCCTTGACCTTGAAATTTATGGACAATGCTACTGAAATATAACTAATACTATTTACACAAGAATATTAAATATGTATTCTTCTATGACCTTTATGCAATAAAATGGATAAATATTAAACAGATAGTCAATAATCTTTTAGAATTACTCATAGAATTGCAAAAATATTTTATGTTTATTAACCAGTACATTTAAATGAAAACACGTGTTAGACGAAGCAAAAGTATCCTTTCAGAATTATGGATGTAAACATTTCAACTAATCACTGTACCGTAACCGTGTGTCGAAGTTTAACATTTACTGCAATGTTAGAACAATTATGTCGCTCTAAAAGTGAGAGTCGAGAAAATTGCTACTGGTTCGCAATAATATCAAAAATGCGATTTCCTTTCGAGAAACGGACTAAACCAGAAGCGTTTACATTTATCTTGCATTCCAGATCTTATCGGTCACATGTTTGGAATAAAAAAAGGATAGGTCTCACAGTTCATTCCAAGGTGTCTTGTTCATGGCACTTTAATGTGTGAGACAGAGTTATTTTTTTAATACAACAGTTAGAAAAATGAATCAAATTTCAAGTAATTTTAATACATTTAGTTCTTTCATTTTTCTTAAACAAAATTCTAATTATTACTATCTGAAAATTCCAAATCAAAAATCAATTACCGTTTGCTGATTTTGCTTTTTATATCAATTGATAAAAATAATTGTACAATTATTACCTACTTATGAAACACCCTATATAGCAGACTGAAACTTTCAAGGTAGCAGCTATTTCACAGAACAATGCGGTTATTTACTATAGATAATCCTCCAATTTACTCAGTAGGGAAAAGAACTTTAAAATTTGATGATTTCTTGCAGAGATAATTCAATAGATAATTGAAATTGTTTTGGATATATCTCAACGAAACTCGTATAGTCAGGAAAATCTTCGATCCAGCGAGCATGGATTAATCAGCGCGTGGATAAATGAGGAGAGAATATAAGCAGGTATGCAGTGGCCTCCTGCCTTTCAAGTTTATTCGATGACGTATAAAATCCCGCAGGGTAAAACGCCTGTGACGTACGCTCGTACGATTCCCTTCGTTACGTCTTTAATCTCGTTGTTACCGGTTTTTGCTGTAGGATATCGATCACATGCAAGTTGAGCAGTGGGAATTTCTGCATACGTGCATCTATTCCTGGAATGTGAGCAGGTAGTATACTTTAATGTAGATAAGAGTCAACGTGTGATTATCTTGATAGCTGTACCGTTCAATGAGGATCCAGATATTATATAATGAAAATCCTCCTTAATTGAGCGACATGAGAAACTCCGATCTCGAATGTTGTGTTTGTAACTTCAGGTGCTTGTTTGACTTGAGCAGAGAAATATGTAGGTCGCTGTAATGAAGTTTGGATAACTGTAAGATGTCTTTAGGATTCTCCAAATTCTTTACTGCCAGGTAAATCCACGTACGATTGAATACCGTATTCCAAAAAAGTGTTTTAAGCTAACAGTAAACGTTGAAATATAAAACTATTTCATAAGATACTAAAATTACTATATTTGACTCTGCACGGTAGTCAAATTGCGCTTAACCGATAGAATTTGATAACTTGCGGTCGTACGTAGATCTACAATATATATGTTTACATCATCGATTTCATTAGACAAGCGTATCATTCCACCTTTCAGCGAAAATTTCATTTCATCGAGGCGACAGCAAATTGTCGACATAAAATTTTATATTTTTCTTATGCTTCGATAAATATTTGCCAAACTACTTATTTTAACTCCATTAACATTCAGAATCAAACACGGCTCAAGACAGTTTACTTAAAAACGAGCTAAAAAAAGAACCAGAAGAGATGCCATTACTCTCGATGCGAAATTCGTTCTCAAGGATTGATCCTAACCTTTTTTTACGGTTACCGGTTATATTAAAATTTCTTATCTTCTAATTGTACACTTATACAAATAATGACTCGTTCAAACGGACTGATAAGTAGCTACTATCGAATTACCTTTAAGATTTGTTCACTTTGTTTTCTCTTGCTTTGCTTTTATACATGCCGCGCACAATTCTAGCCCTCTCTTTCGTCGTCTGTCACTATTACATACCTCTCCAGTCGCGTAGAACGTGCAGTATGCTGTTGCTCTCAAGGGAAGAAACAACTCGTTGTGCGGTGTAGGTTACTTCGCGTGGACATTTCAATCTGAAATTGTCAGTTTGTCAGACAGCGTGGAATAGAAGAGTAACGTGCGGCTCGATCGATAAAAATTAGCAAATAATTAAAAATTCGATTACCACGTGTCATAATCGTTAAAAACTTGTGTTCTATTATTAAAAACGAAGTATACCTCGAGTACGACTAAGATGACTATAGCATAAATATTTCGATCGTGACTGTAGCATAATGAAATTTCACTAATAATAGTGTAACTCGCATGTGATGCGTGTGACACGTAACAAGTGAGACATATTCAATAAAATTTGTTCATTTTTGAAATTCATCGTGAAAATTTCGAACAGTTGACAATCGGATACGAGTTTATTTAAATGTTACTACTCACTGTGGATAATAACTCGTAACTGGTAACGATTGTGTAATTACTGGTGCTCAAGGCATCGAGCAGTGTTTATTTCTTAAAACTTGACGCGTGTCAAGGAAATATACATCAGATTTTAGCCGTTTGCCGAAGTATCGTGTAAAAAGCAGTTGAGAGTTGAGAAGTGAACGGTGAGTGAGACAATTTGTGTACGAACATTTTCTTAGAAGGAACAAGGATAATTGTAATGCAATTGATCGTGGGATGCTGTAATTGCGTGAGTTATCGGTGCAATCGTCACCGAACCGTAAATTCGCGTGTGACAGATCGTACAACGATTATTCTTCGAGTTTTACCGCCTGCCCCTATTTCTTGGTCTCTTTCCTAAATGCATAGCGATTCTTCACCAAACGATTGCAAATAGGGAAAAAGTGGAACATTCTACTTTCACGTTCGACAAAGGTATGCACTTTTAGAGCGTGTATTATACATCGAGAAATAGGTTAATCCATCGTTCTAGATCGATCTTTTTATCGATTAGGATTATACGCCATCTTTTTGTCTGTGACTTACTTTATCAGAATCGATGAAATAATTACGATTGTCAGTTGTAAATCCTTCATTGCAACGTGACGTATACAAAATACGTCGAGAAGTCTCGTTTTGTCGGCACGGTCACTTAGCACGTATGATAAAAAAATAGCACGGTAATTGGATACCGTAATTATCGACATTATCGTTGAACAATTCCGTGTGAAATTGCGATAATTTTTTTCTTTTTCGTATTTCGTCTGTGTGAAACGATAGATAAAGTACAAGTAAATAAAGTTAAAGAGGAAAAGTTATAGAGAAAATAGAAGGTCAAAGACTAAACGAACAACAATAAACGTCCTCTTTTTTTTTTTAAATAAAAAGTTGTTTGAACGTTATTGCTTACCTCTCTTGTCGAAAACTTTAAAATTATATTTTACAAATTTTGATTGCGTTCAAGATATACCTATAAAAATTGCAAAAGTTAATATTTTGTTTTGCCTGTCATGTTACAACAATAACAATTGAATTAAATGATTTTCAACCTATAACAGTGATATATTAATGTAATTGATCGTCTTCATTTTCACGGATAGTTAAATACTTGCAAATCATTCTGCGATTATATTCTATTTCTTGTTCGATGTGCTCGTAGCGTGGTTATGAATAATAATATAAAAATGTCAGCAACTAGTGAAATCTGAAAAAGAGATTTATGTAATCTTCTCTCATAGCTGAATTTATAAGAATCTGGCACGTGTACATTCTCGTAGGATTTCCATAATGATTATGTCTGAAATTAGGGACAATCTCTGTTAAAAAGGACCTTTACATTCTTGGCACGGTAATATGTCGACGCGACGAAAGAAAATCTAAAGTGACAGGTATGTGCGCGCGCAACATTCCAATTCCATTGCCGCGCTTTCATGGCGAATTGTAGCGCTTTTCGTGTTTTACTTTGAACAGCATGATAACAATTTTGTTATGCATGCAAACGAGATTTTTATGAAAACTTCTTTTCGCCTTACACAAGTATAAAGAGTAGTCAGTATAATACGTAACAACGGAATAATGTATGTATGTAAAGTAAAATTAGTTAGGATCCATTGGAAAATTCCCTTGAACGGAGTGAATAATATGGCAGTCTTTTATAACATACTAATTCGATTGCTCGATATATTTTATGCAAAATAAAATATTTGTACATGTAAAATAAAAACGAAAAATGATTATAGAGTGATTGAAATAGAGCAAAAATATTTGAGCAATCTTTTTCTTTAGATTTTTTTTACAGATGATGTCATTGTAGATATAAGATATTATAGGTTATGGAAAAGTATACAGTACGCAGTAAGTGACTTGTATAGACAAGTATAGAGAAGTATAAAGAATAATTGAATCTTTTTTATTTATTTATGGGTAGCAGACATTTTCGACATGAAGTTCAAGGAGAAAGAAAAATCGTGTGACAAGTTAAATAGCTCAATTGATCTGACAAATGGAACCTAACAGGTCGAATTTATGTGCATTAAATTCAATTATTCGAATCTTCTTTTTATGCTTTTTAAAAGTACAATTTGTGCTCATACACATTTGTATCTATGTCATTTTAACTGTATAATTATACAAAGTCGGAGAAAAAAATAAAAATATATAGATGGCGTTAATTTTAAATAATTAAAATTAAGTAGAAAATAATGATAAGATATTCAATTAGTCTCATAAACATACGTTCGTTAAACAAAATCCTTTTTAGTTCAGCAAATTAATATTTTTACATTGCTACTATCAGTATACACAATCATGAAAATTTAATAATTGCTTAAATAAAGAATATATAATTACATCGATCAATTACTGATAATTTAATAAATAAATTTTACCTATAATTCTTATTTTTATTTCTCACGAATTTTAATGATAATATAATATCATGAAACTTACATTTATGTTTCTGAATAATTGAATTTGAAGTATTAAAGTAGCATGTAAATATAAAGAAAAATATCATTTCAAAAAATTTAAGACAAGAAATCTAAAGAAATCAATTATTGAACAAAAAATTATTTTGTTATGCATATTATAGTACTTCTGTATAATAGAAATTTATATACATATTTAATAAAATACATACAAATTAATTATTCACCCTGTCTATTAACTGTTCGAGTAAATATATTTATTTAACTCACGGAAGCCATTGTTAGTAGCACTAAGATGGCGTCATACAATGAAAAATGTATTTATTTGTCTAGTTTATCTAAGATAACAGATAAAACGATTAATAGGTGGGGGTTTGTTCTGAAATCGATAATTGCGATTAATCTTGATTTCAGGTTCGATTCTACCATAGGGATTAAGACGTGAGGAGCGATAATAACCGGGACAAGAAGTGTGTGTAGAAACGTAATAGTGGTCTCTCCGAATTCAAAGTGTAAAACAGGAATTGACAGAAAGAATAAAAATGCTTCAGTTACCAGTGATCGCTGTTTTGATGATATCGATATTCGGTAAGGTGGAACTTCAGCGTGGATGATCATATGAAATGCGTATTTAAATGCGATACTTTAACCATAGATAGCGTATTGTCAGAATTTTAAACGACCAAACTAACTATAGATTTATCAAAATATACATGATTCCTTTATTTTTAATGTCAGTCTTGAAAGTTTGAAAAATGGAAAGAAATCTAAATAAAAGTAGTGTTTGCCATCATTTGATATATTTAATAATATATTATTTATGTACACCTTTTGTATTAATGACGTCAAAATTGTTTTGTTATTAGTTGGCAGTGTGTCTCCAGTACTGCAACAAGAAGGCCATGATAGCAACGTGAACGTAGTACACTTAGACGAAACAACCGCTAATTTGGATAATAATAGTAGCAAAGTGGACAAACCTTCGATAAACACGGCGAACGATGCGAAAAGTAAATAAAATAAAATTTTTTAACACTTGAACCTTTTACTTGTATCTACTCGATATAAGGTCAATATTTGTTTTACATAATGTACTTTAACGGTGGTACAAGTTATTACCGTAAGGGAATAATTTATTGTTCTTTAAAATATAGAAACTGTAAACGTAACAAATAAGTCTATGTTAGTGAAGAATTCATCCAGCATAAACGAAACCACGGTCGGGGGGGATAAAGAAATAAAAAATGAAAAGCAAAATTGCACTTCCAAGAAGGAACAAGACGATATGCTGGGCTGTCATGTAACACCAGCCGATGAAGACAATGATATTGAGCGAAATACAACGTTAAATAGTACAGGTATGTGTAATGTAAACTTTAAATAAAATTATAAAGTTATATGGAACTGAATTACTTGTATGTTTTTCTTGAATTCTTGTATGACTTTTTTTTTTTTCATAAGATCCTTCGATAAATACTACAGTTGCTACGAATAGCAAGACTGAAGCCACTACGGAATCTCAGGTAACAAACGTTCCTCCTCATAAGGACGAAGAAGAAAATGGCGGGAAGAATATGGAAACCAGTCAAAATAATACGCAGACCACAAATCAAGTATCTTACGACGTTGTGTCTGCTGAGACGAATCACACCGCGGATACTAATAATTCAGGTATAAAAATGTATTTTGGTAATTTATTATATGTTCTACAGATTACAAATATTAAATATTATATAAATATTATTGTGTTGTAGATTCAAGCACGAATTCAAAACACGATCTTAATACTAGTGAAGAATCGATTAATACTGTACCGCCGTTATTAGACGATAAAGTTGAGGCAAGCATGGGTTCCGAAAATATTGAAGCTGTAAAATCTGTCGATCAAGTAGATAATAACAATAAGCATATGCCTTCAGGAATTATAGCGTTAGTTACTGCGATCAGTTTTGCTGTAGCAATTGCATTGGTATATATTGGAATGATTGTTTGGAGGCGATATATCGAGTGAGTATTAAAATACAGTATTATTTGAATATTTAATAACAGTTTTATTCAATATTACTCTTGTATTTTAGATATAGGTATGGACATCGAGAGTTACTCGTTAATGAACTAGAATTTGATACTAATGATTTACGTCATTTTGAGGTAAGTATGTTATTGATTACAGTCGAACGTAACATTTATAATCAATTTATTGTACACATTACAGCTGTGATTTCGGGAAAGCAGTAACCTGCAGAGAAGAAAAAAACTAAATGATTCACAGCTAAAGCTGATACTATGTAACTATTGAAGATTCATTGATCTGTGATACTAAGGACATGCATTGTGTCTAACAGTCAAGACACCAAATATATTTGGATAATATTATACATTTCTTGTAATGTAACTGTTTTATATACACTATGTATACAATCCACTTTTTTCAACATGTTGATCGTTTTTCCTTCTCCTGTAGAAATTAAAATAGTGTTACTGTGCTATCATGTATATTTTTTTGAGGTAATTGTGATGCGCGGATCGTTTAATAGATGACGTAGGATTTTAAATATCAATTAAATGTTTTACAGAGAGCTAAGGGTGCTAGAATAATATCTAACAGTTTTCTTTGATGTTAGTATAATGATATTCTTTATTATTTTGTAGTATTTGGAACCATTGAAAATGTATATTATAAATTAAATCTTTATGGTAACTATCATCATTTACGTTTTCCACCTGTTTTTACAATATGTGTGACAAGTATGTAAATATTTTTAGTTAAATAAACTGGTGAATTATTTTTGTAAGTAATGTATCTTCGTTTTTGAATGTAAACAATTGAATTAAGATAAAATAATCATGACATTATGCTTTGAATTATGCATTTAAAAGGATAAAATTAATTATACACATTTTAACTTACTTGATTAGAAACAGAGTACATTTCCATAATAATTATTTATTTATTCATAAATTCAATAAATCACATTTTAAAAAATAGTTACAAGTAATAAATATATATTTTGTATTATATATTTAATTCTGTTCTGTTCTTTTACTAATTTCCAACATTTCTCTACACTAATATTTGTTAGTTTATAAAGTACTCAAATCATTGAAGAAACATCTCTTTTAATGGGTATTTATAACATCATAAATGACATGTATATACAATAATCTTTACGTATTAATTACCTCACATTAATTATTCTTCCTTGTAATCACAAGAGGTCCCACATTATCATTCATTTCCTGATTATGAGGTCCATGGGAGCCATCACAATATGGCCACTGAAATAGCAAAGTTTATTTAATTTACTATTAGCGACAATTTCCATCTGTTTATCAATACTAATATTTTTCATAAATATAATTAGTGCATGAAAAGATCATGATTACATAACATGCATTTAAATGACTCATAAACTTATTCTTGGATATTCTTAATATAAGACAGTTACGAACTAGATCTAAAATCTTTACAGTAAATGTGAGTATAATAAATAAAATTAAAAGATGAAAGTAACTTACATTTTGAGATCTCCAACAACGACAAAATGCAGTTTTCTCACTTATATCTTCTATATCAACTATCTCTACCACTTTATTTTCATCTTTCTTTATGGAAAGATTTACACGTCCACATGGCTGTAACCATAATTAACAAGAATAAATGATAAAACGTACTGACAATGATAAGATAAGTAAGATGAATTCTTTGATACACATATATATTTCATAGATATAAAATTATAAATTCGTATAAAAAATAGTAGTAACATTGATTTAAAAAAAGTATGAAAAACGAAAATATTTAAAGTAATAATGTTACATAATCGACAAAAGAAAAAAGTAAAATGCATCGTAACTCAGAATCTTAACGTCCTTGGTATTCTAGTATTAGATAAATTACTTACCGGACCTCTAGCCTTTGGACAGAATGCTTTGTATGACATATAACCGAGACCCGCTAATAATGCGGATGGCGGAATTAAAGCAAACCAGTCTCGTACTATGTGAAAAGAAAAAAGCGTCATGTACTCGTATTATTTGTAAAATTGCTGAATAGAAAGTAGCACAGTAGTAACTTGCAGTGTCACGTTTCAAATGTTGTTTCTTATATTCAATATGATTTTGCTAGATTATTAAATATATAGTAAACATATTATTTAATTTCTTACTTCCAAGTCGAAACCATCCTCCTATAGAATCTGGAATAGGTAAACCAGCTAAATAATTCGGAATAGATACTTTGACGAGATGTGCCACTGGCAACATGATTGCTATCACTACTACTGTAGTCAACTTACGATTTCAAACAGAACTAAATTTTATTCGGTACATTTGAATGTTCGACTATTTTTTGAAATCATGAAAACAAGTATGCGAGTTAAGAATACTTCTACACATATTTGTATACTACAATATTTAAAGTATATGCTTGGCATATGACAACTTTCAAATATATTATACTATTAGGAAATTATTGTAATATCAAATAAAATATTACTAACTGTACTTTCTCAAAATTCAAAATTCTTGAGAGCAATTTTATTTCTTTTGCATCCAGTATATTTACATTATTTGTATATTCGATTTTTTAAATTGTATATATATACATATATACATATATTCTACATAACAAATTTAGATATTGCAAATACATGGAAACTTTTGAAATCACAAAAATCGTATAATTTTCTAAAATGCGATAATTAATGTAAAATAATAAAATAAAAAGTATAGGTATATGCATATACATTTTTTAAGTTGAATATTTCTAATTGCATTGTTGCCGGCAGATTTTGACTAACGTAGTAAAAGAGGTGAAGGACCGGTGGGGTCCGTGAGATGCCTTGTAGGTGGCGCCATCCAGTCGCGAGGCGTTCGCCGGGCAGGGTGGAGGTGGCTGCGTCGTCCGCAAGGATACGTGGTCGGTTGCCGCGACGCCGCCGCGGTTCGCGCAAGCACAGGTACGAAGTGCGCGCGTTTTCGAGGCGGTATCACGAAAAGCGCAGGAGTGGCGTTTCTACGTATCGTTCCGATATCACTGCTACGGTCCATCGTTGACGTGCAGTGAGTAGTAGGAGGTTCGTGGCATCGGTGGAAAGAGAGGAAAGACCAAGAAAGAAGAGGGAAGGAAAGAGATAGAGCGCGGTTCTATCGCGCGGTGCAGTGCGAAAAGTGTTCGCGAAGGGGGCCCTTGCTTCCTCCCGTGTGTAGGTGTGCGTGCGTGTGCCAAGAGCGAGAGCACGTAAGAACGTTAACTAGTGACACACGGTGCTGGAAAAGGGAGAGAGAAAGACGAATAAACACGGACCGCCGGATAATACTTGTGTACGGTGTGCGGGTTTCGTGAAGGTGCGTCAAATGACAGTGAGGTGATCAATGTGCTCGAAACATGGCTGAGGAGCTGGTGGTCACCCTGAACCGCGGCGACTCGTCCGGATTCGGGTTTTCGCTCCTCGGTACCGCGGGTTTGCCGCACGTCATCTACGACATCGTTGAGAATTCGCCGGCAGCGAAGAGCGGCAAGGTGAGTACTGGCTTCGATCGTATTTTCTGTACATTCGCATTACCTATCGCTTGGTACCACAGCCAAAGAGAGAAGTTCGAGGACGGTCAAAGGTGGAGTTATGGAAAGAGCAACCCCAGTTCTGCGTATACGTGTGTAACGCGTATACGTTACGCGCTCGTCCGAGAATCCTGCGAACGCGAAAGGCCTCAAAATAACGCCCGGTGTATATCGACCCGTGTTATTATCACGAGCACCCTCTGTCGCCCTGTCTGTTTCTTGACCTCTGATTACTTTTTATTCTCACGCTTTGCGAACCGTGCTGCTAGTGCTTCTTGTATATACACCCGTCTTAACGTCGACGGTACAGGGATGCTGATTGGCTGGGTGGGATCGGTTTAACGGCCACATTCCAGCCTGTCGGTCGGTTCCTCTGTCCGTGTGCTCTCTCTCTCCTTTCCTTTTTCCCTCTCTCTATATCTGTCTTTCTCTTTCTTTTTCTCTTTCCTGTTTCCTGAGGAACGTATCCCTTCTCGGCGATCATACCAATCGGAAAATTTGAATTGAGAGAGCTGGCCCCTTTGTGCGTCCCTGCGATCCTCTTAAACCTATCTCTTTTTATCCATTTTTTCTATTTTCCTGGGCATTTTTTTTCAATACAGTGATGTTTATGTCCTAGAAAAGCAAAGCTATTTTATTTTGCACGAACGGTAGACCAAATCTAGAGCACCGTATTTGATGTACGATTATCTCGAGTTATTTTGAATTATTTGGAACTTTTTTCTAGCTTCCTTACGTTTCGCATATATTTTCTATTTTTTTATTTTTTTTTTTTTATCTCGAATGTTTTAATAACGCAATTCGTCACACGTATATTGCAGTGATTTCTCGCGTTTTTATCGTAATAGAAATTATTTGATCAACATTAGAAGAAGCATATTACCTCTTTAAAATTACAAATAATTACACAACGTGACATTATTCATATTAAAGAAATGAAAACACGTAATGGATTAACGTCATGGATGACTTTGACTCATCGAAAATTTTTTCCCCCGTTCACGCAAGCGCGTCGTTATGCGATCGCTAATTTTTTTCGCGGTACCTGGTAAATTTGCAAATCGAATGCACTCATCCCCTCTCACTCTTTCATTTTCTATTGCCCCTTCTCCCGCAGTTTCCCAGTTTTAGCGCAGAATAGATCGATTGCTTTGTTGGAACTGGTTTCCGATACCGACCACGTTAAAAGATGCGAATTTCGAATAGCAAATGCAGAATAGATTAACCGTCGTCGTGTGGACCAGTTTCGAACGAGCTCGTGTGCTGCGACGGCGAGAGGGAGCCGTTGAGGGAAAAGCTTAACGGTTATTAAGAATGGCGTATCATTCTGTAATTATTGAACGGACTAATGTGTAATCATTTTCGAAAATTTTTAATGAACGTTTCTCCGAATATTCAAATTGTTTTCTTTTTAATAATAATTGGTGATATAGGTAGACGTGTTTATAGGTTAGTTTCGGAGGGACACGTATATCTCTACGTGTGTTCGAAGCGTGCCACATCCGAGCAATCAAAGCGAGTGTCTCAAAAACTGCGGGGCGCGCATGCGCGTGACTTTTTGTATTCTGCATAACTGTCATTCGCGAGAAGAATGCGTGTAACAAAGGAGCGGCCGGTCATTACGCGTGATTGGAATGTGTCACTGTATACACTGTCCCTTTTTCCCTTTTCCACTTTTGTTTTCGCAATTCTTAAGGTTCTATTAAGCAGAGTGGTGTAACCGAAATATATGCGTTTTAATATCGCGTTATTATTCCCGTATTATGACATAATTTGCGAACGATGATATAGAAATACTATTCGTTCTACAAACATTAGACTCTCAAGTAGTATTCCTATCTTTTAAGTTTCTTAGTGATTCTGATACATTCTTATTATTTTTTTAAACATTTTAATTTAAGTTTGAGTAGATTTCTCTTATCAGTTTCGAGTTGTGACTTTTTTCGTGAGCCATTTATACCTTAAACCGATACAGGTCTTTATCTTGTCCCGAATTATTCAAACATTTCCACTTTAACCATCCCAAAAACATCGTATACCAGGAAATAGAGGAAACAAATCGGCGAGTATATATTGACATATACTATACCTTAATCGAATAATCTGACTGCCTTAAAATAAATTATCCAAGCTTTTTTATATTTATACCGCTTTATAGAATTATAATTAAATATGATAATAATAAAAATAATACAAATTTGTGTACATATAATCTTTCAACGTACAATATAGACAGTTAGTCACAGTTTATCGGTACAAGCGCAACTAGATAAAACTTTGATCGGCGATTAAAGTTTTGCATAATTATCGTTGACTGTCAGTGGTATTGAAATTTTCTCTGTGAGACGTTCGAGATACGTTATCGTGCGGAATTTATTTCGTTGGCCAGGTTTAGCGAGACTGCAAAGACGAAACCCGACGAACTGGATTATTTCTTTTTTTTAATTAATATGGCAGCGTCGCGGGCCACGAAAGCAGGTTAGGCCACTATATCGGTAGCCACTCAAGATTCATTGTTCGACCGGTACAAAGACCGCGTAATACATTTAGCATTGTTCCCGCGGGACTGCACGGCTGGATTTTAAAAATTGTTTTTTCTCACGAGGTCGCTGCAGTCGACATCGGATCGAGCTAGAACGGTTGCCATTTGACGGATCATTGATAAATTTCATGCATAATGAATGATTTTTCTTTTGTTTATTTTGGATCTAATTGTTGCAAGACTTTATGACTATATTAAATTTAATAACGAGAGAAATGTTATTTTAAATGATATTTAATTAATGATTATAGATATAGTAATGGTATAGTAATTAGTAAAATATTTATAAATCAGACAGATTAAATATTTACACATATTTAATATGCAGTGAATATATTAAATTATGGTATACTTATTTCATAATTTATTATTTAAAAAACATTGCAATAATAAAAAATATATAATTAATGATTACAGATATGTTAAAGTTATATTGATTAATAGGACATTTGTAAACTAAATAGATAAGATATCTACATGTATTTAGAGTATTATACATATACTAAATTATGGATTATTTGCCATATAATTTATTATATAAAAAATACTAATTAAAATGGATTGAGCATATAATACATGGTAATTAATGAATGATATTGCAACAACGATAGTGGTTAGAGTGAGTAATGTCATACTATTGGATGGGGAGTATATGAAGCAGGAGTAATAATGGTGGCACAAGAGCTATCAATTTTGAATGTGTATTTAAATATAGTGCACACAGATGATCAAAATTAGGATTATGCGTGGAAAATAAATTTGCACATATAATCATCTCTTTATTCGAATAAAGCTCATTGTTAGCATAAATTCTGACGCTTACGCCATACTTTTGGTACCTATAAAAGATGTACATGTGGTTTTGACAAATTTAAATTTAGTATCTTAGATTTGTTTTGATCATAATTTTGCTTCCCTTCCTGATATTAAAAATATGTTTATTTTTGTTTATTGGAAAAATAGCTTCTAACATAAGTGACTAATAATTGAGTTAGCTGGATGACGATTGTGTAAATATATTCGTTAGATAATTTTATATTGGGACAATGAACAACGTTAACGGACGTTGAATATGAATGCTTTACGCGATGAGTCTATTATGAATATTGTAATTAAGTCAACCGGTTCTTTGAAGATGCAACTTACAGATGACGTCACAAGATAAAATGGTTTGCCAGTGTTTATAATTATTCAATCATCTGCTTTCATTGAACATAAAAAAATGTTTAATTTAAATAAAAAACGTAGATAATCTGAAAGCTTGGAAACAAGTTCAACTTTATCTAACAATATCTATTCAATAAGAAGTACAGAACAAAAATTCAAATAAACATGAATTTCAAATATCCAGTCTAATTAAAGCAAGCTTGTATTTAACGAAACAAAATTTATATTTCATTTAATAAAAGAAAATTTATTGTAAACATAAATTCCAGCAAACAGGATAACCCATGAGTCAAGCTGCAATCATATATATCAATCAAAACCTTTCATAAAGTGGAAGAACGAGTGATCATAAACAATAGTTAAAATAGAAAATCCGATCAGCGACGTAATTCCTCGAGTACTCCCAACTCTTATCAACAACTAGAAAAAAACCACATACGTATATTCGTACGCGAAATGCGTTAACAAGCTTCCTTTTATCATCGATCGTTTCCACGTCTAAGACGCCATATTTCTTTTCACCATTTTCGATTCACATGTCTGATCAACCTAACCTCCGTTCAGACCGCGAAATTAATTTCCAGCGATCCGTTCCCGGTAATTGAATAGTGCATAAAAATATGTACACTAGATAAGAAGCACGCAAATGCACTTGCAAAAACAGATGCAAATGAATAAGGTTATGTTCTTCCGTTTATTCGTGGAACCTCGTTCTGCTGTTTTTTCTTAATCCTTTCTCTCTCGCCGGCGATAATTTCTTGATTAGCGAACCTAACCCCTTTAACCGCGTCGGTCGAACACTTATTATACAGCACGATACACACGAGCGATAGAACAGGGGATAATACACGAAGTCCACAGGGGAGAAACGTGATAAGTCATTCTTCGTCCGTTTTCCACAGGGGAACAATTTTTACGTTCAATGCGATGTTAATTAATCCTACATTGTCATAGCTGTCTTATTTGGTTTTCGTTACGGGGCTAAATACAACGTGATGCTTGAATTCTTTCCTCCGAACGTTGTGAAAGCGTAGATTATCGTGATCTTGTTCAGGTTAGATTTTGCTTAGATTGACGCACGATTTTATCGGCCTGTAGAAAGTTTCGAAAGTATTAACATTCGTAACTACGTTTCATTACAAAATTTTGTGGATTTATTACCTGTTTTTGAGAAGTTTGTATCTGTGTATTACCGTGCCGCTTCTGCGTCCCGCTGTGGGCCATCTTGCCATTCTGTCGGGCCTGTGGCTTC